ACTTTATCTTTATATAAATCTATTATTTTATAAAAATCTACTAGCTGGCAGGGCTGTACTATATAATAATTTTATATAATACTTATAAAATAATTATTATACAGTAGATCCTGCGCATGAGAATAACTAAGATATTTTATATAAAATTTATAATATTTTAAAAGGCTTTAAAACTCTTACTAGTCTTAGTAATAGCCTTAGCCCAGTAAATATTAAATAAAAGAATTTTATTAAGCCAGATACTGAGATATTAGACTGATTCTAAGAATTAAATAATAATTAATATATTTATTAATCCTGGAAAGACAGGGATTATAACTAATAAATAATTATAATCTTTCTATTTATAATACTTCCAGATATTAATAATTTTTAGTAATTTATTTAATTTATTTAAGTCAGAATTAAAAATATAAGAATTTTTAAAATAAATAAGTTTAAACTTATCAGGTGCAAACTTTAATATATAATATTATAATTATATATTAATTTTATAAGAGCTTCTTCTAGCAGCTGCTTGTTAGTAGTATAATTTCTCAATATAATTAAAATAATTATATTATTCATCTAGCTGAACACCTGGATTTTTTTTAAGATAAAATTTAGAATATACTCAGAGAAAAAAAGTATTAAATAATGAAAATAAAATTAACAAAATAGATAAACCCTGTAAAATATTATTTAATATTAGTAATAATTTATTTAAATATTCCTGTATCCAGAGTTAGATTATTTAATTATATAGAAATACTGTTATTCATAATATAAAATAGCTTAGTTTTATTTATTTTAGGTTATAAAAAATAATATATATAATATATAATTATATATCTCTGATATATTTAATAGTAATAAACTAATAATATAATTCCTTCTTTAAATATTATAGATTCTGTTAAAGATTATCTGGGTTATATAATTAATTAAAATATTCTAATAATCTTTAAGATATTTGCAGGAGAGCAGGCTATATTCTTTTATTATTTAAATAATATATATAATAATAATTAATTCCAGTAATTTTCTAAGAATATTAAGTAGTACTATTAATTTATATAATTTAAATACATAAAAATTATAAAAGCTCTCTTTACAGAGAATTATCATGACTAATCTCTAGAAGTATTCAGGGTTATACTCTATATATATATAAATATTAAAGATTATAGTAAATACCTTAATAAATACTTCTTTATCTATCAATATATATTATATATAATTGAAAATAATATTAATATTAAATATTTTATCTGCAAGAACATGCTTAATAATATTTTATATTTAATATTTTATTAATAAAAGAAATTCCAGGATCTTTAACTTCTTAACTATATTAATATTAAATAAGTTAATCTCTAGAGATTTCAGGAAAAAGACTTATTAGAAAATCTTTATTTTTTATTTTATAGTCTCTGCAATACTAGAAAAACTCTATAGAATTAAAATTATTTTAGTATTCTTACTTCTGTTTCTAATTTATTATAATATTTATTATATTTTATAAGACTCCTTCTCTATGGCCGTATATATAATATTTCAGTAGATTTTTTATAAAATATATTTAATAATCTTTATCTTTTTATTTTTTATTATTATATATTCCTGTTATTTCTCTTTTATTTATTTATTTATATATATATATCTTACTTTTCTTATTATCTTTACTGCCTTATAATATTCTGGAATAAAACTAGAATTAGTCTACTTATTAAAATTCATTTATAGAATAGATTTTATAATAATATATTATACTATTTCTATAAGATAATCTATAATAATATTAATTTATTCTAAAATAAAATTTTCTCAATAACTCCACAGGCCTTTTTTAAGATTTATTTTTATAAATTTTTATATTTTTTTTGTATTTATAGTTTTCCAGTTTCTTCTTAATATTAGTTTTACTAATAATATATTTAAGTTAATAATTATAATTATTAAAAAATAATTAGAATTAATATATACTACAAGTATTACTTTACAGATAATTATTTAACTTATAAGCTTAGAGATACTAAAGACTAGATTAATTATAGTTTACTGTTTTATATATTTCTAGAATTATTAAATATAATAATTAGTAATTACAAGCAGAATTATAAATAATATTTAAACTGGGGTTCTTTTATAATTCTTAAATTATAATAATATTTATTTCAAGAATCTGAGAGTCCTGTAAAAAATATTCTATTATTATATTTTTTAACTTATTTATGTTGTATTGAATAATTTATAATAATTCTTTATTTATTATTTAAGTATATTGGGGATTTTCCTGGTTTTATAATATAAATAAATATAATAGAATAGTAAGTTATTTTTTATATTTTCAGTTCTATATTTTCTAGATTATATTATAATACTGGATACAGAGCTGCTTAGCAGCTTATTTAATATTAAATTAGAAAATATTAAATTTTATTCTAAAAACTAGAAGAGGACTTTTAAGATTTATATTAAAATATAAAAATTAGAATCAGGATTATTATTATTAGTTCTTGTTAATATTCTTATTATTTATTATAAAAACTTTAACCAGGCCGGCTGTAATTCCTGTAAGACTATTAATATTTTATATTTAAAATTATTTTTAAATCTAGATTCAGAGTACAGGATCTGCTAGATTCTTTCTAATTATATATTAATAATCTTAATTATTTTATCTGTTAATTAAATATATATAATTCTAGTTATTACTTTTTACCTAGCAGACCATTATCTGATCTTATAATTAAATAATTAGTTTATCTAAAATTTAAGAATTAATCTAGTCTATAGTTCTATAAGAATTATTATTATTATTATTTCTTTTTCCTGTTTATAATTAATCTACCTGTCTTTATTTATTATTTTTATTATTATATATATTTTAGCAAACGCTGGATTCATTATCTCGATCTTTATTATCTTTATTATATTTATTATATTATTATCAGTCTACTAGATAAAAAATATAATAGTGTTTTCAGGATTATTATTTCTAGAGATATTTTTTTATATTATATTTATAAAGGTTATCTTGAATAAAAATAAGATAATTCAGAAATAAGAAAAAATAGAATAATAATATTTAGGCAGTTTTTCAATTAATCTAGTTATACTTTATTATATTTCTTTTTTATAAACTAAGTATATACAGCTTTATATACAGTATATACTTTTATAACTAGTATATTTTAATTCTTTAACTCTTTCTGTCTTTCTCTGCAGATATTTATAAATTTAGTAATATTTTATATGATATATATAAACTGTTCAGTTAGAACAGATATTTTTTATATAATTATATTATTAATAATTATAGCATTAACAGATATATAATATTTAATTATATTTAATTATAGTCAGGATCTGGAAGTCCTATATAATATTATATTTTATTATTCTATTTATTTAAATAAAAGAGATAAATTTAATAATAATTATTAAAGATTTCTGTCTCTTAGGGCCTTGGAGAGAAATAATTAATTAATTTATATAAAAAATCTTAATATTATTTCTTCAACAGTAGGCATTATCTGTTAGTAAAATCTTATAAATCTTTTTTAATTAAATAAGATTTATTAATTTAATCTATATTTTATAGACTATAATCCTTCAGATTAAATAATAAATAATTATATTTTTCCAGAGTTTATATATCTATGAGAGATATTACTAGGCAGTCTCTGTTTTTATAATAAAGTAAAAATTAAAATTTAAATTATTTAATCTAAGCTGCTATATTATAATAAACTTTATAATAACTAGAAGAGAAAAAATATTGTTCTAGTAAATTTAAATATATACTTCTTTAGTCTTTATTAGAATATTTTTTAAAAATATCCTGTAGAACTGATTTACTTTCTCTGAATTATTAAATTTAATAATGATCTAGACTTTCTTTATTAATTCAGAGGGAGAAATCTTAGTTAAGATTAATTTTGATTATATTAAACTAAATAGTAATATATCTTTCTAGATAATGATATTTATTTAATTATAAATATTAATAGAAAGAAAAAGTCTATTTATAATAATTTTTAAAAAATATAGATATTTTTTTATATTCTGACAGAGTATCTTAATCTTTATATAAAAGATTTTGTACTTTTATTATTAGAAATATTTAAAAAGATTCTTTAGTAAGTCCACCAAGAATTCCTATATATTCTTAATATAATTAATAACTGGTTTAGATATCTGAGGACTCTTATTTTTTTTCAAATATTTAAATATTATATTTATATCATGTTAAAGATCCAGAGCATATTCTTAAGAATATTCTGATTTCCTTATAAAAATAATTAAACTAGGCTAGTTGGATACCTTTAATACTATTATTATAATAGCCTAATAAAATTAATATTAAATAATAGCAAAGAAAGTTATAAGAAACTTATTAAAAAATAAGGCCTCTAGGATCTTGCATTACAGCATGATTTCAAAAATTAGATTCCTGCGCAAGTTATTGTTTTTTCTATCGCGTAGACAGTCTAAGTATATGCAGATCCATCTCCAGGCTAGCAATGGCTAGTTGTACTCACTACTCAGAAACTGCGAATCCACTCCTATAGTAGTAATCCTCAATCAGTGGGAGGGCGCCAGGTATACGGTCATTACATGTCTCCAATAATGTTAGTCATCCTCTCTGATGCCTACATCGAGTGAGTTAGGGATAGAAACCTTAGGATCTAGCTCTGAGATGTATATGCTGGAGCTTATACTGCCTTTGACTATACTAGTGTACTCGTGCCCACAGATCTCTTATACCCCGTTGTCAACCAGAAGGATTTCGTGCCGGAAGAGTCTTCTTTCGTATTAGGATCTGCAGTGTGTGATGTGATAATGGTCGCATGATGAGACTAATTGTAAATGCTGTTCAAATGCCGATCTCTGATTTGTAGAACCTGCCAGTAGAAATGGTACTACTACTGAGTCAAGTAAAAAGCAACAATGAAAATGAAGACATATAAACTCCTTGCTACCCGACCAGAATTTTTCATCTATCACCCTTTCAGATCCAACCACAACTGACTATCTCTACATTATAACCTTGATTTACATCCACTGCTTTCCATTTCACAATGAAGCCCACCAGTGCGTTCGCGACTATTGCCCTCACATTCGCCGTTTCTGTAAATGCCGCTGCAACGGGGTACTGTGATCCTGGCTTGAATTACTGTTCTTCTGTGCTCAATGACGTCGGTATGTTGCAATTCGACTGGCATATTAAATGATTTTTCCTATCGCAAAGTGTACTGACGTAACAAGGCAATAATGATTCAGCAATTAGAGATGCACTCAAAAGTCATGGCAATGATTTTGCCGCGAAAGCCCCGGCACTCTGGTCGAACTTTCTATTCCATTGCAATGATGACAGATCACTTACGGTTGTTGAGAGCTGTGTCGGTTTCTGCCAGAACAATGGGGTTGGAAATAGTGACACTTGCTCCAATCAAGGGCCATGGATTTGAATGTATGTATATTACCTATCTATACCTTAAGATGCTGAGTCTTGGTTGTAGGTTGGTAGGTGATAGGAAGTGGTCAAAGACCACGTTGGCAGGGGTGGTGAAGGATCAGGTGATGCCTGGCTAAAGTGAAAGTCTCTATATTCTATGGCACTTGAAACATTGTGAAGTATATCTCATCTTGGACGGCAAGGAACAACAGGAGATGATATAGCTGTTCTGGTTGCTTATCAAGTTGATATATGTATGTGTTCAATAACTGGATACGCAGACAACTCATGGAGTCAGCAAAGGTTTTTCAGCCAATGTGAAGCCTAGCTTAGATATAACATATACATCCTATTACACTACATACTTACGGCTCCACGGTATATCTCAAAAATATCCATTTTCAAGTAACACTAATAAACCTTTCAACTATATTATGATAACTCTCTTAGAGTGGTTATACCTAACCGTTATACCTTAACCTAACCTTAACCTACCCGTCAGGTTGAAGTATAGTCAGGTTAAAGTATAATGGTTAGGTATAACCACTTTATACTTGTAGTTATCAGCCTTCTTATAATTATTATTAGAGCAGTAAATTTCAGTGTATTAGTATTTCTATTAGGGATCTGGATTAGGTAGTTCTTCACTATACTAGTTAATATATAAAATTAATTAATTATATTCCTGAGGATGATCTTGGCAGGGACTAATTTACCCAGACAGATCTAGTTTTTTTTTGTTTAGTTAGATTATATATAATTAGAATAGCTAAGAACCTTTTCTAATCATACAGGGATTACTTAATCTTTATCTAGGGCCAGTTTTCCTCAGTGTATACTGTCTTGAGATTATATAATAACTGCTAGTAGTAATTACTGACTAGAGAATACATGCTACTTGAATCTTATTAACTAGTTACAGAGTGGTTAGTATATTAACTACCATAATATCTATTAGCTTCTATCAGAGATAAAGCTGGTTTATGTTATAGTAGGACTCCAGAAAACTTGGAAAGATAGAGATAAGAAAGTTGACTAATAGTCTCTGAAAGGCCTTAGATCTAGGATTGATCCACAGATAGGCATTGGATGTTCATGATTTCCTGTTTGCGTCGTCGATGCTGGGTCAGGGTGGGAGACATGAGTAGACGTAGTTAAACCACTAGCATGAATGGAATTCCTTGGATCTTGCATGCCCTCGTAAGGAAGTCACCTCTGATAGCAAGTGGACAGCACGGCCGTAACTCCAAGACACTTCCAAGTTCCTCAGGAATGGTTTTCCCTATTCTAAGTAGCCTGGACTTTAGTATGTTTACTATTCCTGGATACAGGTGCTGTCATTCTACATAAGTCCCACGGATACCTATCTTGTCGTATTGACTCCAATCCGATGTTTTGATAATATCATGTGATCACATGTACTGTATTGTACGCGGGAGATGAGACCAAATGAAACATGAAAAACCTCCCCATTTTGTCTTCACTACTGCGGAAATTGTCCAGGTAGTCAGGAGAATCCTGGTCTGTTATGCTTCCACGTAACCCGGCCCAACCAGATTCTATGGCATGGTCTCGGGTTGAAGGTGTTGGGATTTTTGAGGGAAGATTCACTGTTTCACTATCATTAGAAAAGAATAGGAAACATATACCGAGTAAAGCCGAAATGAGTTTCCTATTAGACTGGATCAAAACAGAATAAAGGGCAATCCTTCCATATACAAGGCCTTATCATCTCTTATGTAGAGCCTCGGTTCACAACAGCAAGAGGTCAATTGTGTCAAGCGGCTCAAGTTATTGACTGTATGATACAGTTCACCCTGGCCACATGACTAATCAGAGTTATACTGAAATTTTACCCGCGGACACCCGCCAAGAACCCATAGGCGGCCTCAGAAACACCCCGCGTTTTGGGAGGTCGGACTGTCTTCATGTGCTGGTGAACTTTCTGCCCAATCCATCTTGCTCTCTATCGCGTGTGCATTGTACTGATGTAGGTACGACCGTCCCACCAAGGATACAGCTAGAATGCTTTCGGCGGTAAGTGAGATCATAAAATTACTGACCCCGAGAGAACGATGCGCTGGATATAGCGTCGGCCCTTCGGGGCATCTTGAAAGTTGTCTCGATTGTCTTGGGCTCGCTAACCTATTCTAGTGTGATTTGTGCCATTCAAGGAAAGTATGAATTTACTTTACTATTAGCATTGCGCCTGCTAAAACATATGACTAGGTAAGATGTGATAGACAGGCGATATGCGCAAATTGCGTGGACGCGAGAGTTGAGTGCCGGAGAGACCGGCGGCCCAAAGCCCCATCGAAACCAAAGGCCCCATCAAGGTAATGCATTGGATTTAAGAATCGTTATAGTCTGTTACTGACTAAATAGCATCCTATCTCTTGGAGAGCGGGTTGCAAACCTGGAAAGATTGACAAACCAGCCTAGGGGGTACTGATAACGCTGTCTATTGTGTTCTCTGATTCTGACCCGTCCGCATAGAAACAGCCATAGTCCGAATGTACCCGATGCGATGTACACTGAACCTAATAATACAAACGAATCAGACAAAGAGACTTCCGCAGAGAGGAGGAAGTTGAATGCTCATACCACGCGATCGGAAAGTGCTCCCCAGGGGCATGCCGAATGGGCCACTGCTTCTGAAGATTCTTCTCACCGCGCAAAACAGGCCAAGGTTATTCTTCAGAATGAGCTGAGCATCGACAATGATCTAATACCTGACCGGCGGACAATCCTCCGCTCCGCGTTAGATCTAGTTGAAAAGGTGGCGAACAGAAAGAATTTGGACTTGGGTGAATCTTCATCGCTCAGGATGGCTGAAACCCACTACGAAGGCATTGAGGTTCCAGACCTGCCTCCACCAGAATTATTGTACATGCTTCTTCGAGGTACTTCCCTTGCCCCTTGTTTTATCCATCTCTTCTAATGTTGTGTAGAGCAATCACCGACATTGAATATTGGAAAATACGTTCAAGTTCAATGGCCTGACCATGTCACTGGCAAATCGCTGGAAAAAATGGCCATAAGGCTCCTGAACGGTGATGCCCACGGACAGCTATACCATCAGCTCTGTGTCTGTATTTATGTAAAGGCTGTATGTCATGTAGATCAGCTATCAAGGTTGTCAAACAACGCCACTCTCTTAAACCGACTTCTGGGCTCTAAGAAGGTGTATGAGTTCGCTGCCATTCGAGCGCTTAAAGAGATCGACATATGCACCACGCCAAGTTTCACGTTGGTTCAATCGCTGATATCTGGTGTGAGTACCCGCAGTGGCCCTTCGAGATTTACGGATACTTACGCCGGTGGTGCAGGCCAAATTAATGCAACAAACCGGCAGGATGGATCAATGCTGGGTGCTCAACTCGTATGCGGCACGCTTGATTGTCGCCTTGAATTATCATGAAATTGACCATTTGACCCCCGACAATGAGGAAATCTTGAGTGCAGTATTCTGGTGTTACTATCTTGACAGGACTTTGAGTTCCCTCTTTATACGGCCAATGTCGTTACCGGAGCCGTGTATGCCTCTCGACCAGATGCATCGGAAGGATGAGTCAATGGCATATGGCACCGTGGTTGAAATTATCTCGGATCTAGCTCAAGTGCAGGGCGAGTTGCTAGATATCTCCCTTAATGGGAAGCGCAGGTATGCCACTGAAATATCAGCCAGGTGCGAACACCTCCGATCAAGAATGCACGGGATACATAATAAAATGGAAGCTGTGGGTAATACTCTCGCTAAAGGTTGTACTTGCCGACTGATAAGAGAACCCCTTAGGCCGGTCACTCTATAATCGATGCCATTGTCAACGAATGGCACGGGACAGAATTTTGTTACTATGCGATTTTGGTGGACGTTCTTCGGGCACAGCTAAAGCATGACCCAAAGGCAGCAGCGTATAAAGAGTGTTTATCAGCTGCCAGGACCTCGCTACGAGCGTTTCAGCATATTCAGAATAATCTTGCAGACGTACCGGGGATCGAGGGTTCGTATCCGTCGTTCTTGACATGGTTCGTCGCTCGTGGCTGAGGGGAGATTCCTTGAAGAAACGTGACTGACACCCATATAGGACCGTTTTCTTATATCCACTCAGTCCATTCTTTGTTCTCTTCTGTAATGTGGTCCGTACCGCCGACTCCGGTGACTATATTTTGTTGCAGGAAGTCACTCAAGGGTTATCGCAATATACCGGCAACACTGATGTGATGAACATGTTAGATCTGTTAATGGCCCTTCAGAAACTTTGCGAGCCATTGTTCCAGACCGCACTGTCTCAGAATGAGCAGGGTCCGCCTGTGTCGGCGACCCATCCCACCGTGGACAGTCTTCCATATCAGGTTCTAGCTCCAGACACGGTGGATGGTGTCGGAGGCGTACAAGCCATAGGGCTCTCAACTCTGGGTGCTGCTGATCCCCAAATATTGGCAACAGAAAGCCCACTTGGCTCATCTACCGATGAATTGATGTGGCAGCTGTTCAATAGCCAACTCCCGCTGGGATGGTACGACATGGACATGTCATCCTTCAATGGGCAGTAATGGGGGTGTTCACTTTTCTAATATTTAAAATATCGAAAACGGATAGTCGATCTAATCCCTAGCAGCTTTGACAGGAATAGGGCTGTGGCTGGAATACTGTCTGGTAGTCTACTGTTTGGATGTTACGAGTACTGTACAGGCTTTTTATCTCGTGGTAGTTGTATCTTCGTTTGAGCCACTGGTAGTGGCAATAGCCTAATGAAGGCACAAAGATGATACCAGGAAGTAGGGTTGCGTATCCTTGTTGGTCACCGCGGGTGATAGAGCATTGTTTTCTATAAGTCAACCAATCCGAGTATCGCAATTCGTAAGACACTATAATGCAAATTCGGCGACCGAACACTACGATCCGCCTGTAGCAGACGTGCATGCACATCTAGAGGAGATCTGCAGTGTTGCCCGTGGCAGATTGACATAATCAGGCAGACGGAAACACGCAATGGAGAAAATCGTGCGGAAAAAGGTGAGAATCCAAGTGAAAGCAACCCTTGTGACACGGTGCTAGACTTCCCATTTTCTAAAGACCCTTGAATTTGCAAAGTCCTTGGACTGTGTCTCTCAGTCTCAAATGACTGGCCTTAGGTCAAAATGACCTGTAATTGGGCCCTACAGACTTTGGTTGCTATCTTCTACGCTACCTATCGTCGCTAACTTTAGTAAATACCAATCTACAGGGTGCTATCCATGAAACAGGGTTAGAGAGACTAAAGAAGTCGAAGTGTTACACTATACGATATGACAGCCTTGATACTAGGGGTTATCGTTTTGAAGAACATCCCTCTCTTCCCCCAAACCATTACCTAGTGTGCAGCAGACTTCAGCTCATCATAGATTTCCTTGATCAAAGCCTTCACCTGCTCATCGCTCATGGGTTGAACGCCTAAGAGATCATTGTGATTCTGCTCAAACACTCCATTATAGCCCGGGGTTGCGAGTGAATACCGGATTAAGTCCCCCACAACCGTCCAGCTGTAGTTTCCGATGGCTATGGCAGATAATTCTTCTTCAAAGGCCTTTTCCATATCCTGGCTTTTAACCTCCCAGCTATCGGGTCCAAGTGCCTCCTCTGCCAGATCGGCAATATCCTTTTGACTCTTTTGGACACTGTAGATGGAACAGTGCATATTCTTGGTTTTCTCAGCTTGAATCAGGGCATTGGCAACGGCTGTACCAACGGCAGGAAGAACGGTCAAAGGAAAGACACAGGTACCATCATTCATGAGCAAAATCTTTTTCTTGATCAAATCAATATTTAAAAAGCTCGATCGCAGACACCAGTCCAGAAAAGCACCATTAGATATGGCGGTCCAGGAAATCTTCTTATCATTGGCGATTTTCTGGAGATGATCGTAGATCTGCGCCTTGCCCCGGAAGATGGGCAGTGACCGTGTCTTGTCGTATTTAGGATGGATAGTGAACTCAGGGGCGATATAGCGATAAACTCCGGCAGCGACCGCGGCATCGATCAAGCCAATTGAAATGGTAGGGTCGGGACTGAAGATTGCATCGAGCACGGCGTCCTGACCCTGAAGAGCAAGACCTAATTCCGCAGGAGAGCTGAAATCCACCACCTTGGCCGTGACGCCAGCCGGGAAAGTGGCACCAGTCCTGCGTGTCAAGACGGTGATATTGAAGTTGCCATGACTCACCAATGCGGTCAGTATATGCGATCCGAGGTTACCGGTGGCCTGGAATCATGGATTAGTGACATGACTTCAAAGTCATTACGCATAGAAGTTCAAACCTACCCCTGCGATAACGACATTTTTGATCTGTCGGGACATTTTCAAAGTTCAATAATGCAGTTGAAGGTAGTTGGACTTGATCAGTTCTGTGTCTCTTGGGGTCTGCAGCTCTCCTCGAGGCGAAGGGGATCATTGTAGTTACTCTTTATATAGACCAACCCTTGCCTCCCCACTGACTACCTTCGGAGGCCATCTTATCTGATCCGAGGGTCTTCGCCTAGTCCCCGCTTAGTCAGCGCATGTCATGTAAGGTCATCGCAGTCCACTCAGGGAACTTCTCCATTGGGTGTATGTTGTATCCTCATGAAATACGAAAGGCTGCCAGCTGGGTTACTAATCTAGCAATAGGGGGAAGATGCGTCTGCTTCCTGCGCAAGAGAAAGACTTTGCAGTCAACAACATGCTCTCGGACTTTATGTGGGGTGGTACTATGCACAGAAAATGTGAGGTGGCAAGACTATTGATCATTTTCAATCTCAACCAAAAACCTTACAATCCATATACACGGAGTGAAACCCATACCAATCTCCAATCCGCCTGGATCAAAGCGGTACAGTGGAACAGACACAACGAGTTCCATATACGAGGCACCTTTCAGGCCCCTGTAGACACTCGATTCACGACACACCTTCCAGCAACTCACATTTACCTGCTCCATCCAGGGCTTGTCTTGGAAATCGCAATATTTATAATAGAATACTATATTATCAGCCATGTCTGAACAGAGGAAAACTACGGGTATATCTCACCCTAGATCTGAATAAAAAATCACGTCACTGGCACCTTTTATATTGGAAGAAAACAGTAGTATTTATCTTAAAAAATCCTTTATTGTTATATCGACAACACATCCTCTGTTCTCACGTACGCAGTGGGTCCTGTTATAGAACACGGCAGTCCTAGAATATGATTAGGGCGATGATGTGTGTTCTTCCAGCCATCTCAGCAGCATCTGATCTCTCTTCCTATTGAAACCATCCCAGTCCACTCTTTCTAGCCACTGAAGAGCCTCTCTCCTAAGCAAAGACACGCTTTCCTCGCTCCAATCGAATCGATGCTTCAACATGTCTTCATCCCGAGCTAGATCCGCAGGGCCAGGTCGTTCGATACGCTGGGCAAACCCATTCGAGCCTCCTCCCCCACCCAGTGAAATAGTAACAAACGGACCGGTCAACGCCCACCGAAGACCTGGACCTGATATCATTGCCGTGTCGAGATTCTTGGCGGGGACAATGCCGCAGCTGATAAAGGCTGTATGCTTCGCTGTTGATCGCACCCTGCAGACGATTGGCTACGAACCCTGGGGCTTCGTGGTGAAGCAGAATGGGCGTCTTCCCGAGGTACCGGTAGAAGTCTTGGGCCGTAGATATCGTGGTGGCACTGGTGCTCGGGTGAGGGACAAATTCCACCAGGGGGACTAGATATGGTGGATTGATAGGATGGTCAACTAGGATGCGGCTGGGGCCTTTCTGGCATCTTCAAATGAACCTCGATGCAGAGAGGCCGGAAGATGAAGAGGCGGTAATGACACCGGGTTTGGTATATTGGTCGAGCTTCTGGAGAGCCAATATCCCTCACGTACAGGGATGGCCGACCGCGCAAAGGGAAAAGCCTTTTCAGTGTATGAATACTGGCAAGTGAACAAGAAAAAGATCGCATTAAGGTAGAAGTACCTTAGCAGGTGGGACCAAACTCGGTCTCTGTCTGGCAAGCTGCTCGACGTGCTTTTAGGACCAACAACAGCTAATACTGCGGTCCCGCATGACAAACGGCGTTGGGTCAGTTAAACCAAGGTGTGGAACCTACTCGATTATCCAGCGGTTTCGTTCCCTTTGGATGAGGTTAGGAAGGAGGTCGACGTACAGCCGAACGGTTATCAGCCACGCAATGACATGGATGCCTGGAACTGAAAAATCTATGATCCCCATGTAATGAATGGCCATCCAGTCAGTTAGCAGATAATTGGGAAGACAATCAATGACGAGAAGGTTTTAGGAGCGCCGACTACTGTCGAAAAGATTTGGAAAGGAGAGAATTGATCGGCTAGACAAGAATAGATATTATGTATTTCGAATTGATTCTTCTTATGCAAAGGTCACTGTTTACCAAAGTATGTTCTGTGCCCTAAAGAGCAACCCATTGATTGGATCTTCTAAAAGCTTAGATCTATGTAAAGTAATACGATGATAGTGGTCATTAGTATGTGTATGGGGTTAATTGGAAAATCGCTGAGCGCTCTCGTCTCCCGGGATATTTTGGGGAAAGTAAATAACAGGCCAGTGTATGCTTCACTGCTAGCGCATGAACCATGCAGTTCGGCACCTATTACATTTAATTTGGGTTCTTGTATGATCCATTATGCAGATCTATACTTGCAGCTAATGCGATGTAGAGTGTGGAAATGGTAGTCTCCTTCCGTAGGTTAGGAATAGCATCTCGAACATGATTACACTATTCGATAAATTGTCCGCTAAACCCTACCCTCTATGTAAGTAAGAACTCCCGTACGATCTATCTGAGTCTTTTCCAAATCTATCTGGTACACCCACTTATCCAAACCACAGCATCAAACGTCAAAACCGTAAATCCCACCCAATTTCAGGTCCCAGACGAGGCAGGGCCTCAGCGACAGTGTTGACATCCTTGTCACCTCGTCCGCTAAGGTTGAGAACAATGTCCTGTTCGCCTTTCTTCATTTCCTTGGCGAGTTCAATAGCACCATAGACAGCGTGAGAGGACTCTAGCGCGGGAATAATACCTTCGTACATTGCCAGAGCGCGGAAGCCAGCCAGGGCCTGGGAATTAGTGGCTGCAATGAATCGGGCACTTCCACTATCCTTCCAGGAGCTGAGTTCGGGTCCTACAGCTGGGTAGTCCATACCGGCCGAGACAGAGTGTGTCTCCGAGATCTGCCCATGTTCATCCTGTAAGAGATAGGTGTATACTCCATGAAGGACTCCCTTAGTGCCACCGGACAGTGTTGCTGAATGGCGTGAGGTATCGAGGCCATCGCCACCGGCCTCCACACCCAGTATCTGGACACTTGGCTCGTCTATAAAAGGATAGAACATTCCTGATGCATTGCTGCCTCCCCCTACACAGGCTACAACAGCATCAGGAAGTTTTCCAATAGCTTGTTGCATTTGTTCTTTCGTTTCCTGCCCAATGATGGACTGGAAGGTGCGCACGATAGTAGGGAAAGGGTGAGGGCCAACAACCGAACCGAGAATATAATGGGTGGTTTCAACGTCTTTGACCCACGCACGCAATGCTTCATTCACTGCATCACGCAGGGTGCGACTACCAGATGTCACTGGTACTACTTTAGCACCGAGAAGCTTCATCCGGAACACATTCAGCGCTTGACGACGAACATCCTCGGCGCCCATGTAGACAACACATTCTATTCCGAATTTGGCGCAGACCGTCGCAGTGGCCACGCCGTGCTGACCCGCGCCCGTTTCGGCGATAACTCGTCTCTTTCCCAGTCGCCGAGCTAGTAGTACCTGGCCCAGGGCGTTATTGATCTTGTGGCTCCCAGTGTGATTAAGATCTTCCCGTTTGATCCAGATATTTGCACCACCAACCTTCTCAGTAAGATGTCGAGCAAAGTACAATCCACTCGGCCGACCCATATATGGATAATAAGAGCGGTACTCTTCCCAGAAGGCCGGGTCTTCTCGAACCGCTTCAAAGACCCGGTCTAATTCGGATAAACAACCCATCAATGATTCGGATACGTATTGGCCACCAAATTCGCCAAATCGCGTGGATGCAACTGGATTCTGCTCGGGTGTGAGGTCCGTGGTATCTGCATACGAACCCCCGGCAGCCATCGCTTGAGGCCTCGCCCCAGTCACAGGGGGTTCTAACACAGTGACCTCACGGACAATCGCACCCTGCTCATCTCGCTCGAGCCTACGCCCGGTGATACCAGATAGGTACTTCCCGACGTATTCAGCAGCACGACCGGATGGCGCAGCACCGATGTTACTGATGATCTGACTGCCAATGATACAGCCTTCAGTCAAAGCTTGTACGGATAGGAAGTGTTCTCGTGTACTGATACCAAAACCGAGAGCAATCGGTGTGTCGCGGGCATAGGTGTGGATGCAGTCAAGGAACTCAGGAAGGTTGGCGCTTAGTGACTGAGAGGCACCAGTCACACCCATTCTCGAAACAGCATAGATAAATGAATCGGCTATGCTGCATAGGGCTTTCATGCGAGGGATAGACGTAGAGGGAGCAATGAGGGGAATATAAGAAAGCCTGGCGATCTTTAGCTCAAACTAGAAAGACACACAATCATGTACGCACCCATGTGTGGCGGAGAGTCTTCTGAACCGAACAGCTTCCTCAATGGGGAGGTCCACCAGGATGAACCCATGAACGCCGGCCTGCTTGCAGTCGTGCAGCAACTTCTCCTCCCCGTAGCGAAGGACTGGATTATAGTACCCCATGAGCAGAACGGGTATCTTTAGTCCCAGTCGTCTTGCTTCTCGCACCATGTCCAATACCCCTGCGATGGTGACACCATTGGCGAGAGCGATCATATTGGCCTCTTGAATAATCGGGCCGTCTGCAATGGGGTCAGAAAACGGCATGCCCAGCTCAATCATGTCTATGCAGTCGTACAGCGTTAGATGTCATGGAAACTTGATTCGTCATGATGAATTAATAGATACTCACCTGCACCGCTGCTTTCGAGACTGAGTAGAATATCTGGTGTCTCTTCTACTGTCGGATACCCAGCGGTAACGTAGGCCCCCAGAGCAGCACGGTTCTGATGCTTCGCTTTCGCGAAGGACAGCTTAATATGCTCCATTACAGGTACGCAGTAGGTTGTTCATGCGCAAGATCGCGTAGGGTCCACGTTAACACTCAACGAAAGTCATTAACAGAGACAGACGACTGGCGTAGGCATTGTCATAGGGCTTCCGAACCCATTCTTTTTATGTCTCCTCACATCCAGTCATGACTCATCGCTACAGATTTATTTTGCCTTCCTTCGGCTCCTAAGTGGCAACGGCTTGAAATTATGGAACTTAAGCCGGACTGCCGGTGTGGGTGGGGATATGCCCCCGCTGACAAAGCGGACCGGGGGACTCGCGCTTTACAGAACAATTACAATATAAATACTCGGTATGCCGATCGCTCATCTATACCTAACTATACAATCCTACGAACGTACAACCTACAACATGGCCTCTTTCAAGTATCACGCACTTCCTGGTTTTGGAGAAGAATGTCGCGAGAAATACGGGTTTAGCGATGCCTGCATCATCGGCAATCGGCTGGTCGTCACGGGACAGAGTAAGCAGTGTACCGGAACCATGTCTGAAGACCCAGGGCTAATCAGATTGCAAAGCGGGCATGAATCCTTTGACCAGAGAGACGTCTCCCAAAATTGAGGAGCAAATTGCGCAGGCCTTCAACAACATTAATTACCTGATCATCCACACTCTCGTTCAAGAAGGTCATGCCATTGAGGAAGACAGTACTGGCTGGGATTACGTGGTCAAGCTGCGCGCGTTCTTCGTGGGATTATCTGGAATGCGCCTAGAAGCACGGGAAAATATGGTCCACTACATCAAGAAGTGGTGTCCTCGCCATCAGCCGTTGTTCACCATGGTAGGAATCGAAAGCCTGCCTTTTCCCGAGCACCTTGTGGAGTTTGAAGTTGATGTATGGATTCCTTAATATGGTGCATGCTATGGTCCAATTGCGGTTTTGACTCGTATTCCACGGAGACTGCAGAATGAAGAGGGCCTTTTGGTACTGGATTACTACAATATTGCTTTCATTTTATGTTATATATAAGTCCTCTCAAATACATCGTTGCCATCCACTTATGTTGGCTGGTAACGTAAACCACAATCGCGCGGGCCACACAGTCTGGCGGGCCACCCTGTAATACTATACAAAAGATCCTCTATAAACACCAGATATCTCAAGCATGAAAAGCCTAGGGGTGCTAAGTTTTGATATAGATTATAAGTAGTATTAGAGAGACCGCAGACTGTTTGAAAATCATTGTAAGTATATATAGTACATATAATAGCATTTTATATTACAATCAGGTGAAAGAACATAGTACTGGAAATCCAAAATAAAATGTAAAGTATTATATTTTCAATATATATTCTAAGTTATGGCAAGTTAGAATTCTCAAGCACTGTATTGGTTGATATATAATACAATTAAAAAGCTATCTCCTACATGGGATAGCAGGGTGGATCGCCTGACTGTGTGGCCGGCTCGACTGTTGGTTATGTTGTATGTGGCTGTAGCTCGGTATATGCGTCTAGGAAAGGAATATGAACGTTGTCAATCCTCTGTGTTGAGTGTTTAATCCAAGGATTCAAAAGGTGGAGACTGGGGAAGTAGTTTGTATGAAATTGGCAGAAAGAGGATCATGCCATGTAGTATGTGAACAACCCCAGTCTATAAAGTCTAGCCATACAAGAATCTACACATCCTTAACCCCTATCTACCAACGCACCCTATCCCCGTTATAATTGACAAATTGACCAGATGTGGTGGACTTTGTCGCTGCCTCAACCTGTAACGACGTCAGTAATCCTCAGCTAGTCATGATGACCAACATCCTGCATACCTGGTTGGTGATCCCAAGAACAGTATCCTGGACGGTCACCGGAGCCTTCTCTAGCCCATTGGCTTGTGCCGCGCGACTCCCCATGTCAGTCTGTACCATTCTACCCACAGGAAACAAAACGTTCTGCATCAGCATTTCTTGACTCATGATTTATGGAAGTGCGAAGGTGGACATACCCTGGATCAATTGGCAAAGCGATCAAGTACTGATTCTCCGCATCGATCTTCTTTATAAGATAGTTTCCAGCCACCTTCGACATTCCATACGCGGTGGTCAACGAAGGGATCTGTTCAATTTCATGGATACTCGCCAGGAGCGTAGAAATATAAGCAAACTTGGGAGTACTGGCTTTCTGCAGCAGCGGCGCAACAGCTCTGAACAGTCTGAGCGGTCCCAGTGTATTTACTTCAAAGTGAGTCAGCACGTCGAAGTCAGTCATTCCTACTACTGGTCCATAGTGGTTGCAAATGCCGGCATTAGCAATGACAGTATCAATATGTCCAATACTGTGCTGCGTCTGGATCTCCGATACAGCCTCTATCGCGCCCTGTGGGCTATCAGAGCTCAGACGCACGACGATCAGGCGAGAGCCTTCGCCCTTTGGCAGCTCAATGAGATCTTTCGCATTTGCAGAAGAGACGTCTCGGGCAGTACCGATAACAGTTGTGTCTGGCTGGGCAAGATAATGTGCCACAAGGCCCCTTCCGATGCCTGTAAGTTGAGTCAGCCAAGGTATGCATTATATTGCGAGGAGTCTCCGCTCACCTCGATTGGCCCCGGTGACGAGGATAACACGGCTCATTGTAAAGTATGTGCAATGGTAGTATTGATCATAAATCCGCAAAGTCAGTACTTGGTGAATCGCCGGACTTGGGGACCCATTAGCGTTAGCGGTTCTCGCTGTCCGAGATGTCCGAATTTATATTGTGATAGACTGTTCCCACAAGGGGGCGGGACGAGTCGAGCCATTAATTGCCTCACCTCGGGTTCGGCATCTCCGGATCGGAACCGAGTAAAGATAGAACAGGTGGGGTTGGCGAAGGGTTCAGCAATCTCTTCTCGGACGATGCAGTGGCTTGGAGTCTAATTAATACGAATACGTTGGTTATCCCAGGGAACTTCACACGATACAAATGTTCAGAACTCAAAGTCTGTCGGATGGGATGGTATTAGATGTTCACAGGGTTACTACATTGAGTTTATGTATCCCGCTGAGTCAGCGGTAGCAATTGCATCTTGAGATTCTTTGCTCCCATGGCAGCCCTATATAATTGTCCAGTGTCGCCTATTCTACGGCTGGTTTATTCCCTAAAATTACCTCGTACTTCACTCCAAGGCTTCACGGAATTGCAACACCATGACGGTTACAAAGCGAAATGTCGTGGTGATCGGTGCCACTGGCTCTCAGGCAAGGCTACCCATACCCACGTGCCATTAGGTGACGCAGATAGCTGATCTTGAACTATAGGGCGGAGCTGTGGTTGCGGAATTACTGGAGCACCCTCGTCTATATAATGTCCGGGCCATTACCCGTAACACCACCAAGCCTAAGGCCCAGAAGCTCGCTGCTCAGGGAGTTGAACTCTTCTGTGCCGACTTAGAGAGTGGCAGAGAGGCTCTAACCGCGGCCTTCGCTGGTGCGGATGTGATCTACGCTCTGACTGACTTCTGGCAGAAGCAGTCGGCAGCAGCTGAGATTGAACAGGGTAAGGCTATTGCGGATGCTGCTGCCGAAATCACAACGCTGCAGCACTTCATCTGGAGCGCTTTGCCAGACCCTGTTGCCCTATCAAACGGCCAATTCCGGAATGTGCATCACTGGATGGGTAAAAATATAATCACCGAGTATATCCAGACCCAGAAACCGGACCTGTGGGCAAAGACGACTACCGTTCTGTTCCCCAATTACTTTGAGAACACTTTGACCGATCCCCAGCGGTATCTGCCTGTCAAGGTGAGTTATTCTGTTCGATCGAATCATATTATATGCTCATGTACATCACGACATAGGACGCCAATGGCACCTACAACCTCAGGTTCCCGCACAGCCCGCACACGGTTCTGCCCAATGTGGCAATCGGTGATACCGGCAAGCTGGTGCACCTGGTCCTCGAAGCTGGCTCCACCTACTTCACCAAGACCATCGCATTCTGGGCTCAGGCGTTGTCTGAGGCCGACAAGCTCGCTGAGTTGGGCTCCTGTATGGTCCCCCAATAGACCCGTGGTTCATCATGCTAATTTACGCAATAGGCTACAATGTTCCGACGGACTATCACGCATCCAGCTCTAGCGAATTCCAGCAGCTTCTCATGACCCGGGACGGCATGTCGGAGGACATTGCTTTGGATTTTACCGAGCAGTTGCTGATTTTTGAAAAGTGCGGAAATGTCTACGCACGGGAGGAGTTTGTGCAAGCCAAGGACGTAGGTTAACACCTCAGTTCTCCTTCACGAGTACTACATTTGCTAACTGTGTTAGATTCCTGGACTCAAACTTCAGACCTGGTCCGAGTTCATTCGCCAGCACAAGCTGCTCTAAATAGGGTGAAGGGATAAACAAACCATTTCCAAGGATGAGGATAGACAATAAAATACAAGGCCCTTTTCGGTTCGGCTCATGTCCATCATTCATATCATTGTAAGGTACTGTTAGACGCCGAGATGCACCGGAAATAACTGTACGATGCCCACTATGATGATACGCACACATTTGTATCTGTCGAAATCCCCGTAATAATCAGAAGACGCCTGGTAATCAGGTGTAATTGCGATGAAAGTTCAAACCACTAACCTACTAAATCTAGTGGCCATTGTTTCCCCAGATTATGGTTATGGTGGAGCTGCCAAGAGCTTAAACGACACGACCCCGATTATTAAGCGGATTCGCCTCTCTGTGGGCCCTTGAGACACATCACGATCCCTTGCAGTCTATGCTTGCCCACTTGCATTCTACTCAAGCGCTGAGCCAGCGTGAAGTTATAGGCGACTAATAGTGCATTTTCTTGTTACGCGACCGATGCCGGGCAACCGCCCAAGCAAACGGCGTACGCCACTAACGCAGAAACGACGGCCGAAACCGAGACGAAGAGCATGCGACTCTTGTTCCAAGAAAAAGGTATGCATGTGTTGTTGGACACGACTCAGATCCAGTCTGACACCATATTACCGGGCTTGGCAGATCCAATGCGATGGAGAGTTCCCGCAGTGTAACTGGTGCAAGCATCATAATCTCGCCTGTACCTTCAACCGATTTCGGGCGAATTCCGACACAGGGTACGCTATGACTGCATCTAATAACGCGGCCTGATTGCGCGAGTTTCACCTCCTCTGCTCCCTTCTTTTTTTAAAAAAAAAAAAAAAAAAAAAATAATGCTATTTCACTCAATATTTCAGGCGCCGTTCAACCTTATGCGTCAGTCCAGGTGGTCCTAGCTAACTTGTTGGTAGCCACCGAGTGATTGTCGTCGCACCCGACACACCTAAGGCGGTGATCCCCAACATTGCAGATGGGCCGCAAGACCTACTTGCCCGCCCGTCATCCCAGGTCGCTGACTCCACGAGGTCGTCGAGGATTGGCAATACGTTTCTGAACAACGTCACCTACCTAAGGGGGCACCATGTATTTTCCAACGAAGGCCAGAGGTGGATTGAATCTCAGGTTGGGGAAAGCGTCAACTTTGATAAGTTGTTCTCTATGGAGCTCCGTTGGCTGAAGCCACTTCGATCGTATACGGTACCTGGGGCGGACGCCCCTGCCGGTCCGCAGCTTCCAAGTAGAGTTAACGTGGAAAAATATGTGCAGATATACGGCTCATCATCGCAGGGTCTTGTCTTCCCGGTCATCAGCCAGCCCGTCTTTGGCAAAACACTGGACCTTGCCTACAGTCACCTCCAGCTTCCTGGTTCTAACAGTGCTAAATCTTGCGTCTATGCCTTCCTCGCACTTATTTCCCTGTTTGGCATGGATGACAACATTCACGGTGCTATGGACTGTCAGTCTTATGCATCAGTGGCCCAGAGCTTTCAGATCCCGGTGATTGAGGAGATGACGGTTGACGGGTTGCAGACATTGATCATGCTGGTATGTACAAGGCTCTCCCCATGGTCCATGTTTTAAATAGCCAACAGAGTCACCAGGTACAAGTTCAATACTTTCTGGGAGATCTTCAGTCAGCAGCGGCGACATTATCCATTGCCACGCGTCTTCTGTACACACTGGAAGCCCATACCCTCCCCGCCAATAAGCCCTCTGCCCCGTATGATAAAGGTGATATGAGATGTCACCTACGTGATCTCTTCTGGCTCTGCTACTCCTTTGATAAAGACATATGTCTGAGAACGGGCCAGCCACCTTGTATCAACGATGCACATTGTGACCTTACCATGCCTCCCGATTATGTGCGGCTGCATGATCTCAATCTCCAACAGAGTTTGCCACAGGTCGACGAGCATCTGGTTCCACTTTTCCCATGGGATCTCCGTCTCTCAATGCTCAAATCAAAAGTGTACGAGGATCTTTATACCGCTCATGCCCTCCAGCAGTCCGTTACCGAGTTGCTCTCGAGCATCCGCGGCCTTGATGAGGCACTTGAGCAGTGGAGGCTATCGCTCCCTATCGAGTTCCGACCTACTCTATACTTCTCTCGGGAGACACCAGTCAGTGCCAATTTGAACACCATGGCAGTGATCCTGCGGCTCGGCTACTATCATTGTCTGACTGTCATCCACCAAGCTAGCACCAGATGCCAGATTCTAGAGGCTGATCTCGCAGGACCGAGACTTGATGGTATCGCTTCCAGTACAAAGCTTACCATCACCGCGAGTCGCTCGACGTTGTTATATCTCCACAAGGTACTACCTGTGGTAAATCCGGAGTGCTCTTGGTATGGGTTCACCGATCAGCGCTAATTCTAGCATTACTGATGGTTGCATCTCGTTTCAGGGTCGTCCTCTTTTATGCCATTACAGCCGTCTTGACCCTTTTTTGCAACATCATCTCGAACCCTCGCGATTGCGACACAAACCACAACATGGACTTGCTGCAGAACGTCCCCAGTTTGATCCGGAGTATTCCTATCCGAAAGTTAACCGCGGGTGAAGTCGTTCACCTGCAGTACCTGGACGTCTTTACCGCGGAACTCAGCAGCATTTGCGTACGTGCCATATCCAGGTCCCAACAGAACAAATACAGCCTTAATTCGCAGCATGGTGACACTACATCCACATATCCCATGCAGTAAAGAAGGAATGCTGCGGAAATCTTTTTTTTTTTTTTTTCTTATCAGGGGTATTGGAGGAGGCTATTGGCAATTGCGAATGTTTATATTATCTTATTATGGCTGGCTATATGTGAAAGCTGAATGGACTTTCGAGACTTTTCAATCCACTCATTGGCTCCATAACACTCTACAATGTAGACAACCAGAAGTCAAACCACTGTATGAAGCTTTGGAAGCTCTGCTCCTTCGCCCATTTCTCGTATGGATCGGACAAAAATGCCCGCGACTAGGTTTATCTCTTAGCATGCGTCTAGATGGCACGGACGGCTAGACTCAACTTACTGCAGATTCATGTGCAACATTGGAGAAGATATCTGCGTAATGAACTCTTTGTTTTCGTTCGTCATAATCTCAACGGCGCGGGCGCGTTGCTCCGGCATAAAGAGACTGTCTCTGTTTGGCACGGAAAATAGAATAGGCGCTTGCACTGGTCAACAGTCTATACAACACCAGCTGAATGATTCTTACCATCAATACCGAACACATGGCTCTCATTTATGAACGACGGGTGGGCGATAGCGCCAGCCCTGCAGATTCCGTCATTAGAAAGCTGGGCACACGCAAACCGCGCCCCCCAGCTGTCGGATAATTAATTACAAACATCACCCTCTACCCCCCGGGCTCATTAACTTACCAACGCCCGGCGCAAACAAATGGACTTCCCGTTTCTTCCATACTCTGCTTCGACGTCCTTTACCCACTTATCAGCAATGCGGTCGGTGAATTCCATGTGCTTGTGCTTCCAACTCTGGAAGTCAAAGGTCGGATCGTTCAACGAGCTTTGGGAATGCTTCCAAATGGGGTCCTAGGTACAGATCGTAAGTCTCTGCCATTTATGTGAGGGTCTGCCGAACTATGCAGTCATACCCCGGCGAAATAATCGACGCCCAATGTCAGATACCCGCAAGCGGCAAACGCATCCATTGTAAGAAAGTTATTGATGTGCAAGCCAAAGGCATCTGGGAAGAACAACAGAACATGTCCGTTTGACTTCGTCTCGTCCGGTGTGGCCACGTAGGTGTCCACGCCTCCAATCTGCTTGAGATTGCCTGCCGGCTCTCCTGAAAGGAAGGAACCTCTCAGACAGCAAAATTCAGCCGGCTTGGCAAGAGCTGGATCTTCTGGAGCGCTCATTGTATCTATGGCTAGTGCAGAAGCTTGGAATTAGGCTGGCTTCGTGGTTTTGTACCGGTATATGGGGTTTATAGACTGGCTTTTCCTTCGACGAGTTCGGTGTGCGCGGATCGTCGGGGCATCTTAGGGACTGCGATTTGCGAGCCGAGTTCGGGCGTATCTCCCCGATAGCGGTCGCCATTGCCCCGCGGGGATTCAACTGAGCTGTTGATGCTGTGGACGCGGACGAAGCGATACGAGCCAGCATCGTTACTTCTGCCGCTGATATGTTGCCTGCCCTTTTTAATAAACGCAACTTGCCCATGGTAAGGGATCATCATGAAGAGTCGTACCAAACACATACGTTAGCATTCTCCCACCATGAACGGCGATTCTATCAAAGACTTGCACGTGGCCATTGTCGGTAGGTCTCCATGATATGCATTGATATTTCGTGCTACTGATCGGAGACCAACTCTAGGCGCCGGTATTGGGGGACTCGCTCTGGCCATGGGCTTGGAAAAGAAAGGAGTACCCTATACAATCTATGAAGCAGTCCCGGGATTTTCAGTCGTGGGGTAAGTCCAGGCTCATAATAGTCGAACAATGGATTTTCGTTTCACACAAGGGACAGCGCGGGCATCGGGTTCGGGCCGAATGGCGAACTGGCACTGGGCATGCTGCAAGAAGGATTCCGTGCACAATACGAGAAGGTATGTGTAGGCAATAAGCCCATTGAGCCTCAGGATATCTACTATGAGGGCATGCTCTTGCAGCCAGGTTTTGGTACGCAGATCTCCTCACTTTCCTGTCTTATCAGCGTGAATTCCCGTTCACACTGTCTGTCATAGATCTTAACGAACCATGGCGCGGCAAGTCTGCCTGGGGCCACCCAAACTACGTCCGCAGAAGTGTCTGTCACTCTCCATCCACGTTAAAGCCAGCTATAGGAGCGGCACTAATGCTGAGCAGGCCCATCGCCGCGCAGTCCTTGAAATAATGACCAAATATATCTCAATTGAAAAGGTCCGTTTCAGCAAAACCGTAATGGGTGTTCAACAGCATCCAGGCAAGGTCATCTTGAAGTTTGCAGATAGCGATACTGCTGAGGCTAGTATCCTTGTTGGCGCCGATGGTATTAATAGTACGGTGAGGAAGCATGTTTTGGGACCGTTGTATCCCAGCCAGGTTGAACCGGTGTATGCCAACTCGTATTGCTACCGAGGCGTGATTCCAATATCTGAAGCCAAAGAGATATTTGGAAATCTCACCGACGTGGCCAAGATGTACGTGGGCGAAAAGCGCTGTTGTGTCACGTATATGATTTCGAAAGGCGAGGTAAGTTTGATATTTTGCTGGGTTGCGATTATGTGCTAAACGATGCCGATTTCAAAAAATTCAATTTCCTCCTCTACGCGCAGGATAATAAGCCCTAGGGACTCAAGAACTCGGTATCTCAGAAGATCAGCCATGGGGCCATGATGGCTGACTTTGAAAGCCCCGAAGCGGACGAACGATTCCGCCGCTTGCTGAGGGAGGCCAGACCGGTGAAGTGGGGATTCTTACATCATCAGTACACGTCGACATATTATCGTGATCGGGTCGTGCCTCTGGGTGACAGCGCCCATGCGTCTCTGCCGTTCCAGGCCGCTGGTGCTGGTCAGGGCTTAGAGGATTCCTTGATACTCTCTAACCTTCTGGCCAGGATATATCACGCCCCTGACCAAGGCGCAGCACTGGCACCATATATTTCTGCCGGCCTTGTAGCGTATAACGCTATTAGGCGGCCAAGGGCTCAGAAACAATTAGAGCGGGCGGGTGAAATGAGCCACATGCTTCACTTCCAGCACCCGGAAACTGGCAAAACGCTTGATAAAATAGCTTCAAAACTGCAAAGATAATGGTTTGACTGGATCTGGTTTCATGACCTGAATGCAGACATTGACGCTGCATTCCATAAAATTTACGAGGCTTTGAATGCGTAAGGTCACCTCTGATAATGTACGCTGCTTGACATGAGATAAAGCGGCGTGTATACACACCTAGTCCAAACACTCATGCTGATGGAGGTTCGGTTGTATACAGGGCGAAGATTTGACGTCAGATAATCTCACTAACTCCATGGGGGTCGGATCGCTTTTCTGTTCACTCTGTCCGATTCTGGTAGCTTTTGTTGAAATACGCATTCATACTTTGTGTCAGACCCATGTGCGCGTCCAGGACTTTAACACATATACTTTCTCGTATATCTTTCATATATAGTATCACAAATGCGTTCTTCTGGAGTGAACGTCAAGTTTACATTCATATTATCTCGTGCTAAAAATGAATACAATCCTAATCTCCCCCGATAGCCGAGTTTATCGGAGACTGCCGACTGTCGTCGAACAAGCTACACCTGTAGGCAATGACTTAGTAGGTGGATCTTAGCTGGTCGACGATCAAGCTCAATCCGCCAAAGGAATGACCGAATGACTCGCCCCTGGGAAGTGGGACCAATATCTGTTCAGCAGGGGTCCCCCCCCCCCGGGACTAATCTAATCCAAGATTATTAATTTTCTATATACCGCACAAGTTTATCGGCCACAAAAACTGTCTAGAATAATTTATTAAAATATATATAATATTATTAGCGCTTCCACCTGACAGACAGAATCAAGATCTGGAAATTTCTTAAAGATCCCAATCCAGACTAGAATAATCAGCTAAACTATGGTTAGATAATAAAATTTTCCAGTAAATTAAATATTTATTTTATTATTACTGTAGCAGGAGACAATCTCAATAACTAGTTATATATAATTAAAGTATCAGCTGGTAAGGAGGATCTGCGGATTTTAAATATAATAATCTTCTAAATATATAGTTTATTTTTAATAAAAAAATCAATAATTTTTCTGTACCAGACTATGTCTAGTACAGTAATTATATAATAAATTTATTTTATAGAAATTACTATTATTCAGTAAAATCTTATTTATAGCTTAGTTAAAATAACAAATTCTTTTATAAAATAAAATATATTCCAGAATATTTAGAAATAATTATAGCTGTATTATTCTCAATTATACTAAATTTTTTTACAGATTAACTATTCTTTCTATTAATATAAAATCACCTACTTCTAGACTTTAAAGATTAATATTAATTATATATATTAAAAAATTTCCATGACAATCTATACATGTATAGAAAATCCTTAGAAATACTAAATACTTATATCATTTTTAAGCCTGAGTTAAACTTGAGATACAGCATATAAAGAATATTATATTGAAATAGATAATAATATAATTTATTATAATATAAAAATAATAAAATATAAAATAATATAAGAATCTTATTCCTTTATCATAGATAATATTATTTTAATTATATAAAAGAAGGTATACTTCCTGATATAAATTATACTAAATATTAAATCTGACTGAGAGTCTTTATTAAAATTATTTTATTTTATTTATATACTATTAATTCTTATATCATCCTGCTGCAGTCCTAATCTTCTAAAACTTTAATTATTATCTATATTTATCTGTAATTAATAACTATAGATTTATTCTATCTAATCAGAATAAATTATATTTACTTCTACCAGTCTAAAAACTTTATTTTATATATAAATAAAACTTTTATACCTTCTAATATCTACTCTAAAACAGAAAATAATAAGAAAGACTTAAAAGTTCTCTAATTACTAATTATAATATATAATAATTATCTTCTTTCTAAAAAGTCTTCATCTATATCTCCAGCCAACAAGGGTTCTGTTTCATTAGAAAACAAATTTAAAAATATATTTCTAAATATAAAAGTACTTCTGGCTTCTCTCTCAGAAAAGACAGAGATTATATACTTAAATATAGATATATAACAGAGAAATACTATATAAGAAGAATATAGCAGATATATCTCTATATATAATAAAAGTAGTAATAATAAATATATACTCAGTTCTTCAATAATTAAATCTTAAATATTTTATTTAAAATATTTTAATTTCAGGTCTACAAGCAAAGCAGTAAAAACAAAATATATATCATTAATCTTAATTTCTAGTAATTAATAACCTGGGAGCCAAAGTAAACTTGAATTATTTAATTTAGAAGACTATAAAATATTTTATATTAAACTTATTTTTACTCTAGTCAAGGAAACTGAAGATATTTATTAATTTAAGATCCCAGATTATAACTAATCTTATAATATAAATATAATAAACTCTTCTTATTATTTAAATAATTAAAATATAAAATTTATATTACTAATATCAGAGCACTCTGATATATGTTTAGTATCTAAATAACTAAAAACTAATATATACTTCCTGAAAAATTAAGCAGAAAATACTGAAATCTCAAGCTAACCCAGAAAATTAAATATTAAAGTAATAGTATTTTCTTGATACTATTATTCTCTAATATAAATAAATTTAACAGAATCTGACTCAGATAATAATAATTTTAATAATACAGATTTTTAAATAAAATCTAGTAAATCTAGGAAGAACCTTACACTGTTAACTAATTTATATAAATATATTTATAAAATATATTTCTATAAATACAAGTATATTAAATATTTAACCAGTTTTTTAAGAAATATATTAAATTTTACAATATTATATCTAATAAAATCTACAGAATACTATTTATAATATATCTTATCAGTCTTTATTACCATATTTATTATCTATATTTATTTATTATATAATTACATATCAAAATCTATCTCTTAATATAGCTCAGGTAGTTAGTCTGATCTTTTAAATCTAGAAATCTACTTTCAGAAAAGGATACTGGTATATAATTATTTTAAGATATTATTAAAAAATTATAATAATATTCTGATATTTTATTTTTTTATATTATACTTAGAATATAGAATACAAGATTATTATTATCCTAAATTTAATAAATCTTATATAAAAATAGATATAGCTAGTTTCTCTGTTCTTAATCTAGATTATTTAAAAATAAAAAAAAATTTATAAAAATAAAAGATCAGCTTATTATTATACTGAAAAACTATAAATTATTTTTTAAAAAAAAATAAAGTCTTTTTTCCTATAATAAAAATTAATAATATTATAAAACTGTTAGTTCCCGCAGCTATAAATAGAATAAAAAACTGAAAATAATAATTATTATTTAAAGAATTTAGTATATACCTTTGTCCAGATTATATTAAATTTTATTATTATTTTTAAAGACTATAAGTATATTTTTTATAATATAATTTATAAGATATTTTTATATATTATGATATTATCTTTAAGAAATTGAAGCAGCAGTCTTCACTATAAAAATATATAAATCTTATATAGATACTACTTTTATCTGATAAAATCTCTCAGTAAAAGAGACTTTATATAATTAGAATAAAAAATATATAGAAATATTATAAAATTAAAATATAATATAAAAAATAGTATTTACTGGTTATAACGCAGCATGCAGATATAATACTTGAGTTTAATATATAGAACTAATATAGTTTCAAAATTTTTTAAGGCTTTAGCTCTCAGCTACTTACACTAAATTATTAAATTATGATATATTTAAATAATAATACTAGTAGGCTTAGTTATGTAATCTCTATATATTAAATACTTCTACTTCTACATGTCTTGCTATATAATCCTGAGATAATAATAAAATACATAATTCTCTATACTTCTTATTTTTTAAAAATAAATATTCTAATAAAATATAATATAATATAATAAAAAGAAATCTAGAAATTAGATTAAGCTTCTAGAAACCTGTAAGTAAAAATTAAAAATTATTCTTATATAATATAATATACAGAAAGTTCTGGTAAAAGTAAAAATAAGTATAATTATAGTATAATACTATATAAAGAATATTACAGTATTCTAGGAGATATATCTGATTAAATATAGAAAATACAGTAATATAATATTAGATACTAGAAAAATCATAATAATATTATATTATAGTTTAAGGACCAGAGGATCCAGATAAGATAGTATAATAATATAATATAATACTGAATTTCTAGTTATAATAAAATTATTATTATTATACCAGGTAATGGAGTAGGTCAGATAATAATAATTATTTTTAATATCTTTTTATATCTCCTGCCCGCTTTTTATCTTTAATCTAATAATAATAATATTACAAGATTTATTATATTAGAACTATTACTATATTTATACTCTTCATAGCTAAGCTTTATAATATTTAATATTATATTTCTAAATAATAATTCTATAACTCCTTTAATCCCTCTTTTAACAGAGAAAAAAGCTTTTCTGATTTTTACTAAGGTCTTTCATTTCTTATAATAATATTAGCAGGATTATCAGCTATAAAATTTTTAAATAAAATTTTTACTCAAGCCAAATTAAAAATCCTGAACTGTAATTTATTATAATCTATATTTAAGATCTGGATATCCTGCAGACCAAGGAAAAAAATAAATAGATTCTATAATAAGATAATAAAAAACTTTATTAGATAAACACAGTTAGGTATTCTATTTAATTATCTTTTTTAGAATAGATATACCTTATAAAAAATTATAAGATATTAATATCTACAAAATTACCTGGCTAGTATAGTATTTTTGATTAAGTATAGAATATTATACTTAGCATTAAAATATACAGTCTATAAAATTATCTTTATAAATTTATTAAAGCCAGCTAGCTTTTATACTATAGAATCTAATTTTTTATTATTATCTATTTTACAGTATTATAAAATATTACTATTTAATATAACTTATTATATTCTATACTTTGCTAGTTCTTTTACTGGAGTAATATAACTAATTTAATTTAATACTGAATTGATACTACCAGACCCAGTAAAAATAAAATATTATTAAATTAAAAAATATTTTAATAATATTTTTAAGTTTTTCTTACAGA